TGGTTAGATGTTGAGTGTTATTTGAGTGTTTCCTGTGGAGCTAATGTTAATTAATTGATATGAGCTTTATACTCCAACTGAAAAAAATGACCACTAGTTGATATGTAGTTGGAGAATCACTTATCAACAACTGTTTAAAGGGTACCATCAAAATAATCAAACTGATATTATAATAAAAATAGTTCAAAGCAAATGTGTCATATTACACATTCATCTGATCTGATTTTATGGCTGTTTGAGAGCAATTTTTATTATTATTATTATTATTATTACTACTTATAAGTGGTCTTTGACCCCTTTAAGTAAAGTAGCATAAGAAAAATGGCAAGATATGAGACTTATAATACATTATAACTATGAGAAATATAATCCATTGTAAAAGTGGATGCAACGTGTTCATTGTGTTATAAATCATCATACTCTTAAAAGCTATAACCACAAATAAGTAAATATTATAATATATTAAAACTGTTCTTATGAATATTCATGAGATGATACAACATATTATAAGTTTTTTTATAATGCATTATGCATTCATTATAATGCCTTACGAATACCTTTATAATGTATTATAAATACGGGCTTCATAGAAAGTGTTACCCTTTTCTCTGTTTATTTAGTTGATATTAGTGGCTTATTAGATATCCTGTTTATCACATTTAAAAAAAAGAATATAAATTGGTCCCATGCGTGTGTGCGTAATATTTTAGTAAATACATTTTTTAAACTTTTTTTATTGTATACAATTGTCATCTATATATCCAGGTAAATGCACACTTTCTGCTGTTTGTTTTCAGACTGTGGTGTGAACTGCCATAAACAGTGTCGTGAGCTACTGGTTTTGGCGTGTCGACGTCTCCCTCGGTCCACATCACTGGGCAATGTGTCTCCTGGAGTGCTCACACACAGCTCTTTACCCAGCAGCCCCAACCTGCCCACCTGTAAAGGTGAAATTACACCTGTACAGTACATCACTGTAATAATTTACTTATTTGTAAGGGAATTAATCATTATTAATTCATTCAGGTTTATTTCTAGCTCAGGTTTTAAAAGAACTCGATCTGAGAATTCGAGGTCCACCTGATCAAAACTGACTTTGACTTTCAATAGTTTATACTTTTATCAGCTACTCGACCAGCGAGAAGCTGATGTCAGTGTATATTACCAATTGAATATGTAATTCTTGTATTCTCCCTGGCCACGGGTGAAATACAAAATTTGATGATTTGTCAGCTCTTGAAAGAGAGGTAATTATTATGCGTAAGCTACGAGCTAAGGTAACAAGCAAGGATCGTTTGGCAATAGAATTGACACGAAATTATATGACCCAGACAATTGATTAGTTATAAATGAAACATGAAATTTATTGGCTATTCTAGATCACATAAACTTAAGCTAAAACACACAAACATACAGTTCAGAGGAAGGAAAGTCGGTCAGCTCTGGACATTTCCTGGAAAGTCTCCTGCTGGACAGGGAGCCATAAAATTGTCTCTTTTGTTGATCGGAGTTTAGCAATTTATGCGTCCACTGGTCATGAGGGTATTTCTATCTGCTCTTTGCAAGCCCGTAAAACCATTTTAAGCACCGTTAAAGTACTGTCCTTTTTAGCTTATCTTGAGATATAGCCAAACAGTCCAGGAAATGCTTCACCTTACTTAATCCTGCATGAGTTTTACGACTGCAGATGCGGGGAAGACGAACCTCAAAAACCTTCCATGGAATGTGCTGGTTTGATGTGTGTGTCTCCATCATGTAGGTGGGTCTGTTGTGAGACAGATCCTACATCACCATCTGCTTATCTCCGAGTAAAACAGGGTGAAATGCATAGATGAGTGTGATCTCTCTCTCTCTCTCTCTCTCAAGCACACACAAACATACACTTAACATTGAAAATAGCTGTATCGTCTTTTCTACATCCATTTTTTTATTAAAATCATTTAATGTGAAAGTTAGTATCATCATATGGTTTCACTGAAAAAAAACTACTATTTGCCAGTCACTGATTAAACATAAATCAAGATATATTCTTTGCAAACACGTTTCTAATTCCCTTTGCTAACATTCTCTTGTCCTGTTACTGCACAGATGATGATGAGGTGTTTACGTTCCCTGCTGTGTCGCCATCGTCAGGCTCTGACCTGGAGGGAAAGTCCATCACCCTGATGACCGGTTCAGCTCAGCGCATCTCCGTGCGGCTCCAGAGAGCCACCACCAGTCAGGCCACGCAGACAGAACCCCTGTGGTCCGAAAATGGCTGGGTGGCCATTGCAGACAGCGGGTCACACACCTTCCCCAAAATGAGGTACAGGCCACACCGCAAAGCATCCAAGAGCAAAGGCTTTGCTCGCTGGGAGAACGACACACAGAGTTCGGCAGCGTCGAGGAACAGCAGGAACTCACATGAGCACAGCGAAGATTCACAGCAGAATGGACTCGCACAACAACATATGAACAGAACTAGGACCTCTGAGGTATGATTGAGCGAAAAGCATCTGATTTGAATTCTGAAGAAATGATCCTGTAACTATTTTTAAAGCTGCAGTGTGTTGTCCTCAGATTTGTTTGAGTAGGAAGACCTTGTGTATGCCACAAACCAACCAAACCACTTGTTTCACTGTCTTTTAATTCCTACATCCCTTCCTGCCTCTCTCATGGCCCTGAAACAGGTTTTTATGAAACTTTGCTCAACCATTGCCATGGAAACGCCAAGGTTCCACGGTCTGGCCCCTTCTCTCGTCGCTCTAGAGATAATCTTCATCAGAGGCCGTAGAGTCATGAGCACCACAGCACTCATGCTGATGGGCCTAAATATGGAGTAGCACTAACCTGAGTAGGGCTCTAGGCTGTTATTTTAGGACCTGGCAGACACTAGGTTTTGGGTTAAAACGCAGAGCATATGTCTGACCAAGATTGTGTTGCTGTGTTTGTTAAATTCAGATCTCTATGTCATTTGAAGAACAGGCTTTAAAAAGGCAGGGTCACTTGACACACACAGGGATTATACTGTTGTTGCACCTGTCAGTGTTACAATGCAGATTTTTTTTTTTAGGTGATCAGCTCATGAATATTCATTTTAAGTAACTTAAACATTTTTAATCTTTTTAGGTGGAAATATAAAACCACAATACTTCAATCAAACTATTTTTTAAATAATAATTATCATCATAATTATAATCATTTATTTTTATGTTCCAGATGTGGATTTCATTTCATTAAAACTAACAAATTTCTTACAGAAAAAAAAAATTACACTACCATTCAAAAGTTTGTGGTAAGTTTTTTTTTTAAAGAAATATATTTTGCTCATCAAAGATGCATTTATTTGGTAAAAACTACAATAAAAACATTTATATTGTGAAATAGTTACAATATAAAATGTATTATTTCTATTTAATATATACTATATTTAAAATATGTTTTATAAATATATAAATATAAATGTATAAATAAATATAAATATATACATTATAATGTATTTTAAAATGTAATTCATTCTTATTATGGTAAAGCTGAATGTTGCTGTTTAATATTATTGTGGAAATCATGACATTTGTGTCAAGATTGTTTAATAAATAGAATTTCAAAAGAACAGAAATGATTTTGTAAATAAAAATATTTTGTCTTTTGATCAATTTAATGCATCCTTGCTGAATAAAAGTTTTGAATTGTAGTGTACACTGATGGACACATTTGCCAGACATTATAAAACAAAAATCTAAGACAGTGAGCAGGTCATCTCAGCATCTCAGGGATGCCAGTGAAAATAAGCTTGACCCATAATACCGATTATTAAACAACAAGGGACTTTTACCATCTTGGACTGGAATATTTGGAGACCATTTATGTAACTTTAGCTGGAAAACAAAAGTATTACGGTATATTAAGTGTATTTATAGTGTATTTTTGAAGACAAAATATCTGAACATAGATATGAACTTAGTCTGCTTTAACTAAAATGAGTGTAATAACTGAATAGTCATCTGTAGAAATGTCTTTGATTCCTTCATTGCACTTGCTGTTCATGGAAAACATCAATAAACACTACCCTAAAACAGACTAATCACAACTATTCAAAACTTTCTTTGGCTTTAAAAAAAAATTCTAGTTTGTGTTTAATGTTTCCTAATGACTGGTGTAAACTGTGATTAAGTGAAGTTGAATGTTGAGAAATGTTCAGGATTTGCCCCATTTTGCATAAAATAAATAAATTAAATAAATTGCTGTCTATCGCCCTCATGTGGCCACTGTATTTCTAAGCATGTCACGATCACACTGCATCTTTGGAATCTGCATAATTTCTGTAGAATTCTTGTATTTAATTTAGTTGTTTTTGTCACTGTAAATGCTGATATTTTATTGCCACTATAATAATGCAAGAAAAAGAAAGAAATTGTCATCATTTGAAATTCATCAGTTTTCTGTGATTCAGTTTTTTTAAAATAAAATACACCAAAAAAAGTGAGCTTTATGGTTTATTTAATCATTCAAAAACCTTTACACATTGTAAAGGTGAACTGTACCATTCTTTCCCAAAACAGCAAAAAGCTCCAATCATGTCAATCAATCAATCTCAGGGTTTCCACACAGTCAGTAAATGAACATTCACACGAGAGCATGACCCTTACTCATGTTAACAAAATCTCACAGAGAGATGAGAGAAAAAGAAAAAAAAAACATTTTCATGTGCTGATCGTTGAAATGACAGCTTGGACATTGAGAACTAATGATGTTAAAGTAACATTTCCCTAAATAAAACTAGATTAACAAAAGTTTGATTAACTTCCTAGTATAAGGCTTCGTCAGATTGTCGGGGCAGTTCGAGATCAGGCAGTAGACTGGACCGATGTCAATCATCAATGAGGAAGGAAGAAGAAAAACCCAGCAACACAAAGTTCATCCTAGTTTTTTGGCAACCCAAGCACGCACTTCCAAATAACTGAAGTAGTTTAAATGGTCTGCCTGAAGCAGAACAATTTAAACCAACCGTACACATGCAGAAGCACATTGTTCATTCAGCGGAGATCTCTGTAAAGCAGACTCCACAGGCACCATGTGAATGATGAGATGTAATGCCTATCCGCTCATTCAGAGGCCTGTGTCTCTCTCTGTCTCCTACCCTCAGAGAATTGTGGGTCCTCTTTGAAGCTGTAGATCGCAGTAACCGTCTCTTTTCAGCTAGTAAATTGTCTTCCCTGGCCAAAGCCGGCCTGGTTATACTGATGCCCACCTTGCTGAAAGAATTGCTCAAATTGCCCTCCTTGGTTAAAATTCTGCCCACCTCTTCCACCCCATCCTCCTCCCTGCCCACTGCCTCTTGCTCTTCCTCCTCCTCCTCCTCCTCTACCCCCACGCCCGCCCCTTCCTCCTCTCTCCTGGTGTCGTCCTCCATCTTGATAGTAGCCTTCGTGCTGGTAACTCCCACCTCCGCCCTGATATCCTCCTCCTGAGTACCCTGGTCCTTGCTGGCCTCCTTGGTAGCCTCCTCCTCGATATCCACTGTCCTGGTAATGGCCCTGGTATCCACCTCCGCCAGAGCCATCCTGCCAGTTCCCCTGCGCTTTACCTCCACGGTGGTCTCCTCTCCCACCTCTGCCACCACCTCCACCTCCACCTCCTCTCTCATGACCTCCACGGCCACCTTGCTGATCATAGCCACCTCTTCCACCACCTCTTCCTCCGCCACCACCAGAGTAGTACTGTCCTCCACTGCTCCCTTGTGGACCATCTTGCCGTTTCAGCCATGTGGGCATCTCTGGAGCTGGGGCTTCAATCTCATTGGGTCTTCCTCCTCGATCAGGAACACGACCCATCAGGACCTAATAAACAAGAATAATAAATTCACTGGTCCACTACTACTTTTTTTTAAAGAAACATTAAATGTGACAGTAAAGACTTTTACATTTTTACAAAAATATCTATTTCAAATAAATGCTGTTCTTTTGAATGTTCTATTCTTCAAAGAATGCATCACAGTTTCCACAAAAATATTAAGCTGCACAACTGTTTTTGACATTGATAATGGTGTTTTTTTAAAACACTAAATCAGCATATTAAAATTATTTCTGAAGTATCATGTGACACTGCTGAAAATTCAGCTGTGGAAGAAATTACATTTTAATATATATTTAAATATAAAGCATTGTTATTTTCAGTCGTAATATTTCACAATATTACTGTTTTTACTTTAGTTTTGATCAAATAAATGCAGCCTTAGTGAGCATAAGAGACTTCCTTCAAAAACATTGGAAAATCTTACCAACCCCTAACTTCTGAAATAGTGCAGCATCAATTAAAAATTACATACAATTTAAAAGAATGTGAAAATACATTCAAAATTAACCCACCTTGTTAATGGCACAGGCTGTTTTCTCCCTGATGTGACCACTGCTGGTTCTTAAGATCTTTGATAAATCTTCTCTAGCAGCAAACAGGTGAGCCACAGACACTCTGGTTTTAGTGGCCAGCACCACACGAAGAGGCTGGTACACTTTCATAAGTCTATCAACATGTGTCTGTATAGAATTACAAGTAATAGCATTACTGTATAGAATCACATTTTTATTCATTCTTTTATTTTAATCAGTGTAAACTTTTAGTTTTATGCTATACGTAAAGTAAAAGAGAGATTCTTGTACCTTGGCTCTTTCCGACCAGCCAAAAGACTGCACCGTCACATCCAGTCGTTTTAGCAACATCTTTCTTCTGACTTCATACTCATTCACAAGTGCTTGATTTATTGCTTCAATTTTCTCCTGGGGGTAAAAAAAAAAGAGACACACTTCCAATTAAAATGGGAAATTTAACTCTGTGTTCAAAATTAAAATAGTTAGTTTAGTGTTTAAGATAAAAATCTAAATCAGAGCTTACCCAATGTACAGGGCCCAGTGGTTTCTTCAGTAGAGGTTCTCCTATATGAGATGGAGGGACCTTGGACAAAGCTTCCTTCAGCTGTGGGAAAAAATGCATTTGATTAGAACCTAATGGCTTACTGTACAAACAAACAATGACTCATTCAACAATTAACATGCACATGCATTCTTATATGAACAGAAAATAATTTAATGCAATATTACATCAGCTTCACAACAGGTGCATCATTCTAATGTTGATTAATCTGGATTCGTCTAAATGGAATGTGTAACTGCAGTTAATAAATTAGAATTGGCTCTAAATAGGATTGTAAATAAAAACATTAAGAAATCTTGACTTGGAAGTGTAAAACATTTTAACGGTTTCAACTAATACTATTAAACATTTTTCATTAATTGAAATAAAGCTGAAACCAAATAAATATAATAAATAAATCAAATGAAAAACCTAAAAATCTGAAATAAAATATGTTTAAGATTATGTACTAAGCTTAAAAATATATAAACATTTTTTTCGTAAATACTAAAATAAAAAGATATTAAAGGGATAGTTCACCCAAAAATGAAAATTAGTCCATTATTTACTCACCCTCAAGCCATCCTAGGCA